GTACAGTACCTAATCCTTCGTCTTGGCTCACCACCAATCGCTTGTCGTCTGGGTTTTCCATCTCGCCAGCAAAGATACATGTCATTTGGAGTGTGTTAAGTGTATATAATGTTGCAAGAAAGCTTAGTTTTTCAAGATGTGATGTTTTAATTAAAATTTGAAGGACACTTTGGATACCCTTAGTTCATCGCTTCTGCATGTGTTATCGTCGACGATTGTCTGCGTGATGTAGAAAATATATGTGAACAGCACGTGTGAAGTATGGCCAATGTTAAGGAAGCTCGTAGTGAGCAGTGAACATCACGTCGATACTAGAGGAACGAGAGGACATCTTATTTACTGATTGTGGAGAGTTCGACGGGGATGATAGAAGTGATCCTCTGGCCTTGAACTGGTGGACACAGAACCACGCCCACTTACGCCCGTCTCCCCCGCCACACCTCCATCCTACCCACACCCCACGTTGGTTTAATATAAAGTGAAATGAGCTCTGCATTAGTGGTATTGGCAGCCTGAGGTCGATAAGATCACCAGTGCTGGGGTTATGTTTGCTGCTGCTGAGTTAGTGTAAGAAATATATTATTTCTGCTCTCTCTCTCTCTCTCTCTCTCTCTCTCTCTCTCTCTCTCTCTCTCTCTCTCTTCTCTCTCTCTCTCTCTGAGCTTGTTCTGTCTTCTCTCTATCCTTCTTCTTCCGTCAGTTCACACCTCACTCCTTCTCCATTCATCATGTCTTGTTGCTCTTTTCCTGTTGTCTTCCGTCTAACAAGGTTGCACATCAGCTTGGACTGTTTCAATCTTTGCTGCTATGTCATTTAGCGAATCGTCTTTATTTACCGTCTTAGCATAGTAATTATTATATTTTCTGCTGTTTACTCCCATCCTCCTTTGCTATATACTCTCCATACACTTCTGATTTTAGCCTTTGCCTCACTACACTTCTTTGTAAACCACGGACTCACTCTGTTTTTTGAACTCCCTTCATAGTACAAATCTTTCTGTGGTTTCATGGCATGTCTTCATGGCCTTTCCAGATGTGGAGGGCCTAGTGGGTATAGTTGGGCATGTTGTAGATAGTGGGGAGTTAGGGGTTCTTGTTGGAGGATCTATATTCAGTAGTGGCCTAGTGTATGTGTGAGGGAAATAAGGATGATGGGATTTTAGTATGAGTTGGATTGGGAGAATTTGTCTTTGTCCTTAATGCTTTCTGTAATTGTTTCACCCCAGTTGACTTCTAATCTTCCTATCTACCTACCTATTTAGTGTTTCTTTTGTGCCACTTACTACGACCACTACTACTTCCACTACCAGCATTACCTCTGCCACTACTTCCCCACTTCTTTCTTCCTCTCTTTGTCCCATCCCTGTCCCCCCACTTCTTATATACTGGCTCCCTCACCTTCGTGTGTTAGTGTGACTTGCAAATGGTCCAAGTCAGACCGAAACGTCGTCAAAATCTTGTTTCCTATGTGCGGTTATTTGTGTATTGTTGCTAAATATTATTTTCTACACGGCTGGGTCTCAGACCAGGCCTACCAGGATGGAAAGGAAATATTTCAGGATTAAAAATTAATAAAAATCACATAGGAAAGTGAAGGTACGTGTTTACTGATTATAAGAAGTAATTTGCAAAATTTACATGTCATCTTGCGTGTCTATGAGACAGAAAGAAACAACAATTCTGCCAGGGCGCAAAAAACAGGTTCCCATTTCACATTCACTTGACAGGATGGTAGTAGTTCGCTGGATGGTTGTTGTCTAACGACATGCTACCTGTGGCAAACCTTTGTATAATTTCGACCTTGTGTTTGGCTAGTTAGAAGCTCCACCCAGGGCCATGTATACTTTATGATTGACCTGATGTATGTATGTCGTGTATGAAAGTCCCAGTGTTTTCGCTGTTCATGCTCCTGAGTGTTGTTTCAGAGTCTGGTGTGTGCGTGCCCGTGCGTGCGCGCGTGGCTATGATACCCATTGGCTTAGCGCTTCTTTTTGATTATAATAATAATATGATACCCATGCCGACACAGGCTAAATATCATGCTCCGCACGCAACTCTGGATGTGTTGACAATTATCATCTTCATTTGGTTGTGAGGAGTTCACCTGAGGCACCTACCTGCTCTACTTGAACCACTTTACCTGCCTTACCTTCTCTCTCTCTCTCTCTCTCTCTCTCTCTCTCTCTCTCTCTCTCTCTCTCTCTCTCTCTCTCTCTCTCTCTCTCTCTCTCTCTCTCTCTCTCTCTCTCTCTCTCTTTCTCTCATACCTTTACTCATCACCCTCTTTTTCTTATTCCCTCTCCCCTTCCCTCATGTCTGTGCTTTATTAAACACACTGTTTCCACTTCTTCCTCCTTTCTCTCTCCACGGTGTTGCTAGACGACTTTCTCCTTTCTGCAAATGCCACTAACACGTTCTAGGGCCTCTGAATGTTGATACAAGTTTGGATAATGGCTGCTAGCTAGCAAGACATATCCAGCCCTGACACTAGTTAGGTCTACTCACCACCTGACACATGCTGGCTAGGTCTACCTAGCACCTGACACATGCTGGCTAGGTCTACCCACCACCTGACACATGCTGGCTAGGTCTACCCACCACCTGACACATGCTGGCTAGGTCTGCCCACCACCTGCGAAGGTTTCTCGGGAATTAGAAAGGAAAATTACCAACTGAAATCACATTGATTAATAATGGAGGTGAGGCAAGCAAGATGACAGTCACTAGTGACATACAAGATTACAGTTACTAGTGACATGCAAGATGATAGTCACTAGTGACAAGCAAAATAAGTCACTAGTGACGAGCCTGGCCCATTGCCGGGGCTCCGGGAGTAGAAATACTCTCGAAACTCACCAAAGGTATATGGGAAACCAAGCAGGTAGACTGATTAAAAATTAATACAACCTAGGCACCCGTGAACTATGTTAGTTTTCTTAAATAATACGAGGAACTTACTAAAAACAACACGAACTATTGGTAAGCTGATATCACTTGGAGAGAGAGAGCTCTTCAACCCATATCGCTAACTGGACGTCAGCAAGGCCTGTCATAATACTGATACCACTCACGACTTCTATGCACACAAAAAAATAACATCACACGGTAGTGGCATGTCTGACCGATAGAAAATTCAAAATGGAGACCAGTTACAAGTGGCGTTCTACAGGGAGCAGTGTGGTGCCCCTTCCTGTTCATAATTTACGTAAATAACGTAGTTAGGGACTAAACAAGGCTACTTAAGATCGCAGAGAACCCCAGAATAAGTTGATGCATTCTGAAGACACCAGAACTTCAGTGTTAGCGGAAGTGATAGATGCAGTGGAATGTTACATGGATTGAAATGTAGACACGCAGTATCTTAATTGAAGTTCTGTAATGTTTTTATTTATTTTTCTTTTTAATTTTACTCAAAACTGACCTAGCAACACCACCGAGACGTGTAAACCATGTGCGAGTAACGCTCATGTTGGCTGGTATTATGTGGCGTGTTGAATTCATATTTAAGGAGGCTAACATATCAACTTTATTTTTTAGGTCACGCAGTAAAGAGAGAAAGTTGTATTGCTGTGTGATTATTTTCAGTGTCGCTGAGTGCTGACCCTCAGTCAAGTATTACTTGCCACTGGCAACTGACGCATCATCAACTGCATGCAAACTGCTGCAATTACTTTTTTTTAATGTTTTCTATTTATAAACCTATGAAAAAATTCTGTAATTGCATATTTACACATAAAATGCTAATTAAATATCCGGCCTTTGAAGCTTTGGTTTAAGTGAATTAAAGCGGTGGTAAATGTCTCGAGATCGTGACCCTAACTGATTGTACACGTTCAGTAAAGCATCGTAAGTGAATACTACACGAACAAAGTTGTGATAACCCAGTGATAACGAACCAAGCCCCTGTAATCAGTATTCACTTTTGTTGACTCTTATATTACTGCTCATGAAGACAACTTAGTGGGTGGTTAAAGCACCTTTGTGTGTGGTGTGTGTGTAGTATGTTTGTTTGTGTGTAGTATGTGTTTGTGTGTAGTGTTTGTGTGTAGTATGTGTTTGTGTGTAGTGTGTTTGTGTGTAGTATGTTTGTGTTCGTGTGTAGTATGTGTTTGTGTGTAGTGTTTGTGTGTAGTATGTTTTGTGTGTGTTGTGTGTGTATGTTGTGTGTAGTGTTTGTATGTGTTTGTGTGTAGTGTTGTAGTTGTTGTGTGTATGTGTTTGTGTGTGTGTTGTGTGTAGTATGTTTGTGTGTAGTGTGTTTTGTTATATGTGTTTGTGTGTAGTGTGTTTTGTGTGTTGTGTAGTAGTTTGTGTGTGTAGTATTGTTTGTGGTGTGTGTAGTGTGTTTGTGTGTAGTTGTGTTTGTGTGTATGGGTTGTGTGTATGTGTTGGTGTAGTGTGTTTGTGTGTATGTATGTTTGTGTAATTGTTTGTGTAGTTGTGTTTGTGTGTGTAGTAGTGTTTGTGTGTATGTTGTGTGTGTTTGTGTGTAGGTGTTGTTGTGTGTTTGGTGTAGTATGTGTTTGTGTGTGTATGTGTTTGTGTGTAGTGTGTTTGTGTGTAGTATGTGTTTGTGTGTAGTATATGTTTGTGTGTAGTGTGTTTGTGTGTAGTAGTGTTGTGTAGTGTAGTGTGTTGTTGAAGTGTGTTAGTGTTTGTGTTGTGTTTGTGTGTAGTGTGTTTGTGTGGTTGTGTTGTTGTAGTGTGGTGTGTTGTGGTAGTATGTTGTGTGTAGTGTTTGTGTGTAGTATGTGTTTGTGTGTAGTGTGTTTGTGTGTAGTATGTGTTGTGTGTAGTGTGTTGTGTAGTATGTGTTTGTGTGTAGTATGTGTTTGTGTGTAGTTTGTGTTTGTGTGTGTAGTGTGTTTGTGTGAGTGTGTTTGTGTGTAGTATTGTGTTTGTGTGTAGTAGTGTGTTTGTGTGTAGTATGTGTGTTTGTGTGTAGTGTGTGTTTGCGTAGTGTTTGTGTGTAGTGGTGTGTTTGCGTGTAGTGTGTGTTT